CCCACTCCCCTACTCTCCCCCCCCCCTTCTCTCTCACTCTCTCTCTCTCCCTCTCGCTCGCTCTCGCACGCGCCTCCGCTTTTATGAACGATGACGAGTGGTCCAGCCCTGCTCAGCATCCGTTTCAATTTTGCCGTCGCCCCGCCGCCGCCTATCTCCGCGGACTTATCTCGGCCTGCCATCGCGGCCACGTGGCGCACAGGGCGCATCCACAGCATCCCGGTCCAACTCCAAACCAAAGTGTGCGGCGCTCTCTCACTTTCAAGAGAGCTTTACTTTTCAACCAGCAAAAACAAAAACTGTGAAGCACAAAAACGAAACTTGTCATTATATGGGGAGGAGAACATTTTAAAATGACACTTCCTTGTCACATACATTTCAGGGACGACATTTTGTTTCAAAGATAAATAATGGAAATTTAAATGGATAAATGCCCTCGGCATTCCACGGATTTCCGTCGGCGTTCTTCCATATCAAGCCTTGCAAGATGTATGATATCTGGCATACTTCTGCACAGATTCAGTGTCCTTGCTGTCCGCTCGAGGGACCATTGGCCCGGGTCCCTGGTCTGAGCCCCGCCCGCTATCGCTGTCATATCGCGAGATCTAGGCGCGCCCACCGCGCGTGGCGCGAGACCCTTCGGATCGAGCTCGGGTCAGGAATTCAGTATTGTCTCTAAAAGTTGTCCTAGCGGGATGAACGCGAGATAGAAACCGGGTGAAGTGGTAATGGGGATGAAAAGTCGGCAGCCTCCCCGGGGCGGGTGCTCCACTTGTACGCCGGCAATCATCAACTCTTGCCCTTGTTTGTGCAGATTTTAACAAAACGGGTCCCTTCTTGTTGCAGATCTGCTGCCGCACAACCAGAATGGGCAGGCTGTCACCAAAGAGTTCCTGCAGAAGGTCATCGACGTCCTCATGGACTTCGTCAAGGACACCAACGACCGCAATTGCAAGATCCTGGAGTTCCACCACCCAGAGGACATGAAGAAGCTCCTGGACCTGGACATCCACGACAAGGGAGTGAACCTTCAGCAGCTCGTCGAGGACTGCCACACCACACTCAAGTACCAAGTCAAGACGGGTGAGTAGTAGTATGAGTAAGGGTTGCATGCCCTGACACAGACATTTCCTTTTTGAAGAGAAGTAATCGATTCGACCAGGGACTTTTGCTTGACTGATTTTGCTTCTGAATGCACCTTTACTTGAGAGGTGGGGGTAGGGAGGTGAGGAGGGACTCTCCCGGTGAGTTTGTCGATAGGGAACGGGAAGGGGTAGTTTCCTGGTCCGAGCGCTCAGGCGTGTGAGATCTCCTGTGCTGCCGTCTGATTGCCTTCCAATGTTCACACGTTCAGTCTGCGACCCTGCGGGCGTGGCGGGACGGGGCGAGGTGGGGCGAGGCGGGGTGGACCGTGAGAGCGCACAGTTGCATGGCCTCTCTGGGCAGCCCTTCGACTCGACAAGAGCGTTGACAGGAACAGGACAGCCCAGAAGGCTTGTCCCGGCCATACCCCACCCTCTTTTGCACTGATTACTTTATTTTTACGCGCGGACCCCACTGTTCATTTGGAAGTTTTGCCGACTTTCTCCGGCCAGCATAGCGACGACGACGTGCCGCCTCTAGCGGCCAAACGAACTGTATTCACTGGGTCAGCTCCCCGCCTCACCCCGCCTCACCGCACCTCGCCCCGCCGCCCCACCGCGGTGGCCACCAGACTGCACCAAAGCTAAGGCTCTTGTGGTCTGGATAATAATTCTATTCCGACGACACTCGGCCGACGCCATCCGTGGGGCGTCCTGTGGGCCTGAGCCCCGCCCCGCCCCGCCCCGCCTGCGGTGTGGGAGCGGCTGTTTATTAATGCTGTGCGGAGTGGCGATAAGGGCGCTATTCACTGCAGATTGGCCCTTGTCTGTCTCCCTGGTGCCAGCGCTGGTGCCACGCGCCGCCCCCACCGCGCTGCAGTGGCTGCGGGAGCACAGGCTCTCCCCTCTCCACCCCTCCTCCCCTTTCCTCTCGCCCTCTCTACCATTTCCTGTCCCCAAACTCTGGAATTGAATTAGCCGGCACACCACACCACATACACACACACCTCTGTCCCTGTCGACTGTCCCGCATAGGGGCAGTGTTTAGCGCATGTGCGCCACGCAGTCCAGCAGTCACAGGGGAGACACGAGTTGTGAGACACAAGGGCAGCAGGTGACACCTGATAGCTGCCCCAAAAAACGTGTTCCAAACCTCATTGGTTCTGGCAGCTTGTAAACTGGCAGAAAGGCTATTCAATTTTAAGCTAAAGAAAAATAATTTTGTCCTAACGTTGAAATATTTGTACTCCAAAAGGACTGGAGGGGCTGGGGCTAACAAGATCAAGAGCATGAAAGTAAAGTGTGATATATTTGCGGGGCTCTAAAGGTGGAGATATTGTTCGTGGCGCTGGAACCCTTTTTCGTCCTCCCATCTGAAATAATAGAAAAATAATTCCCTACCTCCCCCACCCCCAACGCCAACGTTGATGTTAACGTTGGGTTGATCGTAAGATTAGGAACAAGAATTATTTCTTTTAAGACTATGGTCTTACCTAGTTTCTCACGTATGTCCATGGATGCCCTAAAATTTTCGGGTATATTTCCAGTTGACAAAGGAATATTTGTTTGGCGCCCGGCAGAATGTTTGTTTCCCCCTTGTCTCCAGCCGACGCTCTCCGGCTGGGTGTGGATCGCGGCGCTGGAGGGTCGCAGAAGGGCCGCTGGAGGGCGCACTGGAGGGTGGCTGGAGGGCCCCTGGAGGGCTGCTGGGGTGCCACATTCCGGGCGAGGGGCGAGGGATGGGCCGGCAGGGAAGAGGGGGAGAGTGTGTTGGAATCCGGAGGATTACAAGGGAAATGGATGGAGAGCGGTTGGATTTGAAGAAGGCACATGGAGGGAGCGGATTGGCGAAAAGAAAAAGAAAACGAAAAAAAAGATTGACTCGGACGCGTCCCCGGCGCGGGTGAGAGACTTCCGGCCACAGCGGCTGCACTGACACAGCAGTGCATGGCATGCGCATATCGTTCCAGGCCAAAATGAAATATAAACGCATTTCGATGCATCCAGTTTTTTTTTAAAGTAAATTATCAATCGCTTCGCTTCGTCAATTTCCTTGCTCGCAAACAAAAAAAATGAAAGATTACAGAAATAAATTGAATTAAACTATACGTGCTTTTCTACTTAATGGCAGTTTTTTGCTGTGGGTAATAATGAAGCTGATTAAGGCTTTTCTTACAAGTACCATTCAGCAGAGATACAGAGGCGC